AATCACTCATGGTTTACCATATCCCAATAATCTGGAGTAAGTTCTACCATACCATTCACCATTTGGTCCCATTTTCAAAACTAATATTTAAGGACAGCTCAATTGCTCGAGGATACTGTACGAAGCGAAGGTAGTGTGCCGGCTACCATAGCTCTTCTCGACGGAAAGGTTCATATTGGTCTCTCAAGTGATCAACTAGCCAAAGTCGCAGAGTCTAAGGAGGCGGTGAAGGTGTCACGTAGGGACATAGCCTATGCTCTCAATAAGGTAAGATACCTATGATATGAGCCGCATTCTACTGTATATGGATCACGATTACTTGGAAAGCCGTACCTGTTGATGTCCGCCAGAACGAACCTAACCTCGCTGTCTTCACCTCTTACCCAAGTAAAGCGTGCAGGCGGGGATACAGTCAGGTTCGCTGCGGATTTTGGAGCGTGCGAGGGGAGGGGGTGAGTTCGGCGAGCAGCCGTCCCGCTCTCCACTAATTGTAAGCGTTGAAGCGGGTTAGCAGCAACAACTGGTGGGAAAGGCGCTGCCGTCGCGCCCAGCCCCTCTGACACCTCCCTCCCCGCCTTCCCATCTGCAGCGAGCAGTTGTAGGTACGGGTGATCCACCGTAGGGTTAATAACCCTCATTTTCCGAGAACAACCCAGTTTTTGTGGTAATATGCGTCAAAATACGAAGTGCACAAATTTGCGCAGCTGAAGTTTTCAAACCATTTGAGAAACTGATTGGAGGAACTACGGTAGCTGCCACCATGTATTTGGCAAATATGGCCGGAATTCGAATATTTGCAACTGGTGGTATCGGCGGTGTCCACAGAGGAGTCGACCAAAGTTTGTTATGAGCTATTGATTCTTAATTTTTTAGGACAGGCTTTTCAAGACTCGTTGTTGTTTTCAGCACTGGACATCTCAGCGGACCTGATCGAGCTGATGCGTACACCTGTGACTGTGGTCTGTGCAGGAGTGAAGAGCATCCTGGACATTCCGAAAACTGTTGAATTTCCTGGTGGGAGAAGTCCGTACACTCTTTATGCAAAATTCGAGAGTTATCTCGCTTAAGGAAACGCATTCGGTCAATTGCATAGTTTTTGGCAAACGCAACGTCTTTCCTGGCTTTTTCACACAAGAATCGCAAGCCAAGGGGCAATACTGCACTGAAGATCTCAGTGACGTCGTCAGAAGCATAGGTATCATTGGCTTTCTGTAGCTTGAAAATAAGGTTAATAAGTTCTTTGGCTTCTAGAGATATCCGACGCCTTGAGACTGGAAGCAGGTACCGTTCTCGCGTGTCCTATTCCGGAAGCGCTCCAAGGCGATGGGAGAAGTATCGAAAACGCTATTCAGGAGGCACTGAATGAAGCCAAGTAAGAGTCAAATACATAAGTTGCATTCATAGTGCAGCTGCTGGAAGATCCGCGTCAACTTTCTGCCTGATCTAGCTTGTGACGGTCGAATTTTTTTTGCTGTCGGGTACCGGTCGCGCTTGGGGGGTAGAGTACACATCGACTAGAGCACAGGTCAAGCACCCGTTGTAAGCCGAGCGAGCCGAATGGGCACGAGAGAGCAATTTGAGTGTGTGGCGTGTTCAGACGGAACACTCAACATCGACCGTTCAACTACCGTAATTTGTGTGTACGAGATGTCTGCAGAGAAAAGCTGCCACAGTTAGAAAGCGCGATGTTCAGTGTTCTCCGGAAATCGGGATGAGCTAGACCTTAGTCGACCGTTGACACTGATTTGACTTGCACACATACAGTCGTTTTCGTTGGAGGGCCGTATTTGGAGTAGGCTAGCTTTGGTGTAGCGTCCCACTCCGTTGCCCACCGATTGTTGAAGCGAGCAATGATAGCAATCGCTGGAAAGTGAGCTGGAGCCGCTCCGAAGCCATCCCTCTCCTAAAAGTCTACAGGAAAATTATAATACTCTATATCAGTCACAAGGCAGCTCATACTTAGGGAGGGGGGGGGGTAGCTTTTAGTCTAAGTGCGATGAACCTTACGTGGGCAAAGGTTGAGGCATCGACCTGAGCTCAAAAGATGGCTGAAGTTAGACCATATGTAGCACTAGTGTATCCGTTATCCGTTAGCATAGTATCTACACTCGGAGAACCATACGAATCGGAAGCTACTACTATTTTTACAGGTCTAAGAACATCGTTTCTAAAGAAGTTACACCATTTTTGCTGTCACGAGTAAATCAGCTGACCGATGGTCAATCAATGAAAATAAGTCAGTGAACTGTGGATTGTACCAATTAGTTAATGTTGTAGTTTTCTCGATTCACTGCCTGTCAGATATCGGCCTACTGGAGAATAATGCCCGAATCGGTGGTCGATTAGCAAGACTTCTGTCCGAATCAAAAACATCTCGTATCACAACAGTGAGGAAATCGAAGGACAAACAGTCGACGACGGAGAAACGGCCAAAAATAGTACGTTTCCACCATCTGTTGCTGTTATAGTGCTATACCTTATGGAAATAAAATAATCCTATGCAGGTCGTCATCGGAGCAACTATCATTGATGTAGAGTCGATAAGCAACGAGGACGTGCAGGTACGCTTTTTTGCTGCCTAAGGAAACTTCCAGGCTCATCTTCGGAGATGGCAGGGTTACGAGAGATTAGAAAATAACGTAGTGAAGCTTACGCCTTCGCCATGAAGAAGAGGGCTAAGAACTTGTTGAGATCGCTCCATGAAGCTTATTGATCCTCTGCGGTAGTGTTGTTATGTGTTCGGGACGATTTGTGTTCCAGACACCAGGCTGCAGCCGGGCTGAACTTTCTGAACAGGTTCGTATTATTTATGCCATGTTGCTTATGTTCCGCTCCCAATGTTAAAGCTTGGCGAAAAGCCGGGCTCTTTCCACATATTCTGGAGTAAAATCAAGTGCACCCCATCATGACTGCATATCTACCTACACTCTTTTCCTGACAGAGTAGGGCATGGCAGTTAACATGGCAGGGAACTGGTTAACCCGTGAAATACTTTTATTCTGGGACCACTGATCATTTGTGTTCTGGTGTCGGACGAAAGACACGACAATGCACATTGTTTCAAGCATGAAAATATTCTGACCAAGCATAGACACCTTCGGGTTTAAGTTGAAACTGTGCGTGCTACGACTACGCGATATAGGGATTTCGAGTATATACCATTTTCACTTTAAATTCGCCCTTTTTCAAACCAAATTCGTCCTTTTTCAAACCAAATTCGTCCTTTTTCAAACCAAATTCGTCCTTTTTCAACCAATTTCGCCCTTTTCAAACCAAATTCACCCTCACTCTTTCATCAAAGACCACAACTTTTAGGCGGCACTATCAACTAGATACGCCAGACTGCAACTGGCGAGCCCTCGCCCGACGGCACGCCACTTGTCAGCGCGGACATAGATTCTCAAATCTTGTTTCATAACTTCTGCTTTTGCTGTTTCCCACAAACCCTTTGACTGGAAACCACCGTGCATTCACACATGGCCGACTCCGCCCATTCTCTCTAAAGGGCTTGGCGCTCTAGTGACCGAGCACTGGCTTTTCGCGGAATTTAGATGTTTTTTTTCAAATTTTTGTGCAAGTAGGGTTGCTGCGTGAAGCCCGCACTTTGTAGATGCTCTTCCGCGCTACTTTCTGAAATGGTGCAGATCGGCAGTACAGAGACTTGGCTTGTATGTTAGGGTCTCGTACGTCACTCGGAACAAGAAAATCCGGCAAAGTTTATTCCGAATGATCAGCAATACACTAACATGCAAGCCAAGTCTCTATACTGCCGATCTGCAAGCCATTTTGAAAGTGGGCGGGGCTTATGCAGAAGTAGGCGGAGCATGGTGGAGGATAGAAGGCGGGCTTCACGCAGCAACTGGGATTGCGGAAAATTTGAAAAAACATGGCGAAATTCCGCAAAGCAGTGGGCGTGGTACAGCCTAGAGGCCAAGCCCTTTTAGAGAATGGGGCGAGTAGGCCGCCAACGTGTGAATGCCCGGTGGTTTCCGTCAAAGGGTTTTTGTGGGAACAGCAAAGAGAGTTTATCGAAAGAATGATTTGAGATCTATGTCGCGCTGAGAAGTGGGCCTGTGGCGTCAGGGGCGAGAGCTCGCATGATGTCTGGGCGTGATCTGGTTGATAAGTTATGCCGCCTAAATAAGTGCGGTTCTTGAATGAAGAGTGAGGGTAGGAATTTATGGTTTGAAAAAGGACGAATTTGGTTTGAAAAGACGAATTTGGTTTGAAAAAGGACGAATTTGGTTTGAAAAAGGACGAATTTGGTTTGAAAAAGGGCGAATTTAAAGTGAAAATGGTATATATACTATTAGAATGGGGTTTCCTGCCCCCCAATAATCTCCGAAATGTGCCTTGACGACAAGTCCCACAGCTGTCTCTCACTCGAAAAGTTTTGGAAGAAAGTCAGATAACAACATTTTTCTACTCCCAGCCATCCTGTAATAAAGCGAGAAGCATTTCAGAACGATGGTGGACTAATAATCATTGGGAATTTAGGCAGCGTTGGTGGTGGAGTTGGTAGGAATCATGGCAGATGCTTGTCAAAGGCACCGTTATTGTTTGACTGTGTGATTTAGTATTTAACCATCACTTGTGTCGTTGCGGCATTTTCGGTGAATGTGGGTCATTGAGGAAATCGTCTTGGTCAAAAGAAATCGTGTAGGTAAAACGGCTCTCGGAACTTTTCGATGTACTAAAAAAGGTTGAAAAAACACCTATGCGAACTCCTTTTACTTTTATTTTCTCAGCCTGTCGTTATTTCTGGCAAGCCAAGGTGGGCTAGTTTGTAAAAAGGACCATTTCCGGTGGCTAGGGATTGGCCACCTCCATTTTGGCCTGTGTATTTTAACTGTAAAAATCTTGAAGGTGTACTTTGTTGGGAAAGAGCTCCCGGGATATAAGCGTCAGAAATGCCTAGCTGATTGCGCTGCCGCCACGTTACCCAAGGATGCACAAAGTCAAGGCAGACCACGAAGTCACGGTCGTTGTGGGGCAGCCGTATTTAGGTAAGATACTGGATAGTGGAGAGTTATTGCTGTAGATTTCTTCGGCGATTTCGTGGAAGAGACGTGAGCTCAGAGAAAGAACTTTGTCCGCGATGACTCCTGGCTAGACTAGACATGCGTCAAGAGAAACTGGCTAGGGGCCAGCTGCTGTACGGGACGAAAAGTTTTCGTGTGACAAGAGTTACGTATATAGCGTGCTGTTGGGCATGGCGAGCGGACGCGTGCCGGGTGTCCAAGCACCGTTAAAGTGTTTAGAGTGCGTTCAGACTTGTAAGCGCTAAACTGAGGCTGCCTTAGAGTAAAAGAGATGGAAAAATCAGATATCGCCCGTCATGGAGTCTTATCTTTGCTAGATGTCATATGGATTCCACCGTTCCAGTCAACAAAGTGATGGCTCATCTAAGACAGCCGCGTGTGGCTGCACGATACGCTCCGCGACACGTCGACCAGCATTATGATTGATATCTCTCTGTATATACTACGGAATAACGACCGCTGCCATGGCTCCAGCCACTGCTCTAAAGGGATCGACGAGTGACTGGGTGGCGCATTCTGAACAAAAACTGACAAAGCAGCGTCCGGTCACAAACGCAAAGGATTGTTCAGGCCAGAATTCGGCGCAAACTGATACTGAGAAGGGTTCTTTTTCGAAGTGCCATATGACTGTGATATTGTCTCATTTGAACGTCGTTTCTTCCGATCCACGAAATACTTTTTGGCTGGAGAAAAAAGTAATGTTATAAGAACATTGGAATCTGGTTATTGCATTCTTCGGCCTTGATGTTAAGCGAGTGAGAGGGACATACACTATGTTAGATGTTGAATTGCAAAAGTCGTGAATGATGGATGAAGCTTTCCCGGCAGTGATGATGACTGAGCTTTCCCCCTGAGTTGTAAGAACAGGGGTAAAGATGAAAAATGAAGATGGAGGTGAATACGAACCCTTAAGTTTAGCAGGTGTTATATTTCTCCTTTATTTTTTCTTTATCAACGAGTGAAACGTGAGAATTGAAGTCGCTTTCTCGTTACAGGCTAGGATGTGATGTTTCCTTTATTTCGGCAATAGGAAATGATCAAGAAGGGCACTACTTTTTGGAAAATTGCCAGCACATTGTAAGTATTCAACCTTTGATTTAAACCTCCTTAAATCGCTTTTCATGTTACAACTCGAGGCACTGCACTTGTCCGTTGTGGCTTCAATAAACTCGTCCTTAACCCATTGCGTACCGCGGCGTTTTTGCGCTAACCGGCTCCTGTGGCCGACGCCGTTTTATCGACGCGACTTGTGGCGCGCTGAGTATAAACATATAAGATTTTTATCTTATACATCTAATATAAAATTATTGTACATATCGTGCTTATGCATCACTTTTATATGTAGACGTATGCTAAACGGGGTTCAATATTGCTACGTGATGAAAAGTGAGGAGCCGAAAAATACGAAACTAGCCAAAAAGCTTGATAGAATTAAGAAGAGAGGGGAAAAGTGACGCTATGTGCTTAGAAGTTTACGCTCACACCATTTTACGAATTTTCAGTCGTATTATAACCAGGATTTCGGTTTTATTGGTAAATGAGAATTAAACAAAGAATATAATAGTTATCGACTCTTTTTCCTCTAACACTCTAACAAATAAGTTCAAAGGAAGCGTGCTGCACATGGTGCAGCACGCGTAGGCAATGGGTTGAATACAGTTGCCGCGATCAACTGGTACGCAAATTAATACCGTGCAGCGTAATTATCGCAACCCACGATTACTCTCACTCTGCAAATGCAAGCTTACATGTGGACCCGCTTGTGTACATAGCGTTGCCTGGGGCGCAGGGCACATCATTGGTTGGGGATTTTAGTCGAGTCCGTACGACCCTCCCCCTTTTTTTGGGGGATTGGTACGACCCCCCCCGGCCCTCTGTTCCTCCTTTCCTCCTCATCGAATCGAGCCATCGAGCTGGGGTAAACAGCACATATGGAAAGGAAAAGTCGCGAATCAATACGACCCCGCTCTACTAACTGATTTTCAGGTGCTTTCTCCAAAACTTTCCGAACAAAATTTTCCGAAAAGTAGTTTCCCTACTTTCCCCAAATTTTTTGCTGTTCGAGCAGCGGGGGGGGGGGGAGCATAATAGTTACGCATGAACGGAAAATCACTAAAATTCAACCACACTCTAACAACGTTCAAGACGCAAGTACGACCCCCCTCCCAACAATGACCCACTACGATCCCCCTCCCCCCTTACAATGTCTGTGTCCGTGAAGCGAGAAAAATCAACTATCAAAATAAATTTTCCCAGCCCAAATACGACCCCCCTCTCCTGGCGGCCAAATACGACCCCCTATTGGGGATTCCCCAACAACGATGTGCCCTGCTGGGGCGTCGTAGGCTGATTTCCTGTGTTCTTGCCGGGAATTAGTTGAACGTCGAATCCTGCTAATTGCGCTTGCCGACGTCCGGTAAACTCGTTCAAGGCGCCCACTGCCAGGGGCTATCTGTTCAGGGTGTTCCTCAGGTTTTTTTCGCTTCTTTCTCTTTTGGGGCGTTAGTTACGGGCTACTGGTTCATGATGAGTGCCTACTA